GCAAAGTGTTTAGGTGGCATGTGTCCCTCATCTAGAAATGTCTTTGGTAGGCTTTCTCTGTCATCTACAGACATGGGCAAATTCTCTTCACTTCTTTACATGAAATAGATTAAGCGTCTGCCTTTGGCTCAGGTCCTGATCTCTGGTCCTGGGATCAAGCCCTGCATCAGGCTCCCTGCTCAGCAGGAAGTTTGCTTCTCCCTCTGCCCTTCCCCCCAACTCGCTCTCTCTCTAGACTCTAGACTAGTCTCTTAGGACTCTCTCTCCCAAATAGATAAATAAAGTCTTTTTTAAAAAAAGAAGCAAGACCAAAAAAATATTATATACCATATGATTCCATTTATATAAAATTAACTAACAGGCAAAAATTAAACTGTACTGGTTAGAGATGGATATATAGGTAGTAAATAAAGAAAAGCAAGAATATGGCTACCACAAAGGTTAAGGTTGTGAGGACTCCAGGGTAGAGGAAATGTTGTGATCACAGAGTGACATATAGGTATCTCCCAAGGTACTGGTGGTGCTCTACTTCTTGATTTGTGTTTTGGTTACACTGGAGTTCATTTTATAATAATTTGTTAAAATGCATATTTATGTTTTATGCATTTTTCCTATATATGTTATTTTGTAAGAAAAAGGGCTTAAAAAATGAAACCTGAGAATTGATTTGAATAAATACAATTTAAGGTACCCTGAGGCAATTTTTTTTCCTATTTTGCTTTAAATATAATGGAGGATTAAAAGAGGCAGAATAACACTGGAGAGCTCCTTTTGTAACCTAAATTCATATCTGTATTTTTTTTTAATAAGGTTTGTCACTATGGTGTTCAAATAAAGTAATAAAGATGCCATTTTAGCAAAAAAATACAGGGTTTTTTTTGTATTTATTTGTTTTATTGAGAAATAAATGAAATACACCACTGTACAAGCTTTTTTTTTTTAAGATTTATTTATTTATTTGAGAGAGCGAGCCAGGGGGAGGGGGAGAGAGAGAGGGAGAGAGAGTCCTAAGCAGACTCCATGCTGAGCGTAGTGCTTGACGTGAGGCTTGATTCCACAACCCTGAGATCATGACCTGAGCCAAAATCAAGCATCTGACCCCTAACTGACTGTGCCACCCAGGCACCCCCATCACTGTATAAGTTTAAGGTATACAGCATCATGGTTAGATTTATATATATTGTGGAATGATTACCACCATAGATTCAGCTAACCTCCACCTTCCCATATAAATACAGTAAAAAGAAAGAAGAAAAGGAAAAAGGAAAAAAATTTCTCCTTGTGATGAGAACTCTTAGGATTTACTCTCTAAAAAACGTTCCTATGTAATCATACAGCAGTGTTAGCTCTAGTCATCATGTTATACATTACAACCTTAGTACTTATCTTATAACTGTAAGTCTGTACCTTTGACCACCTTCCTCCATTTCCCCCTTCCCGCCCTCTACCTCTGATAACTGCAAGTCTAATCTCTTTGTGAGTTTTTTTCCTTTTAGATTTTATATATAAGTGAGATTGTACAGTATTGTCTTTTTCTGTCTGACTTATTTTACTTAGCTAATGCCTTCAAGGTCCAGTCATGCTGTTGCAAATGGGAAGGTTTCCTCATTCTTTTATGGCTGAATAATACTATATTGTATATATGTATATACCACAACTTTTTAATCCATTCATCCACTGATGGACACTTAGGTTGTTTCCATGTCTTAGCTACTGTAAACAATGCTTCTATGAACATGAGGGTGTGGATATTTTTTCACGTTAATATTTTTGTTTCCTTTGGATATATTCCCAGAAATAGAATTGCTGGATCATATGGTAGTTTTGAGGATCCTCCATACTGTTTTCTGTAGAGGCTGTACCAATTTATAATCCCACCAACAGTGCACAGGATTCCCTTTACTTAACATCCACACCAGCATTTGTTATCTCTTATCTTGATGATAGCCATTCTAACATGCATGAAATGATATCTCATTGTGGTTTAGATTTACTTTTCCATAATGACTAGTGATCTTGAGCATCTTTTTATGTACCTGTTGGCCTTTCATATATCTTCTTTTGAAAAATGTCTATTTATGTCCTTTGCCCATTTTTAAAATAGGTTATTTGTTATTTTGTTATAGTTTATTACTATTGGTTTTTTGCTGTGAGTTCTTTATGTACTTTGGATAATGACCCCTTATCTGATATATGGTTTGCAAATATTTTGTCCCATTTCCATTCCAGAGGTTGTCTTTTCACTTTGTTGATGGTTTCTTTTGCTGTGCAGAAGCCTTTTAGTTTGATTTAGTCCCACTTGTTTATTTTTTATTTTATTTCTTGTGCTTTAGGTGTCATATCCAAAAAATCATTACAAAGACCCATGTCAAGGAACTTTATGCCTATGTTTTCTTCTTGGGGTTTAATGGTTTCAGATCCTACATTTAATTCTTTAATTTGTTTCAAGTTAATTTTTGTGACTGGTATAAGATATGGGGTCAGTTTCATTCTTTTACATGTGACTATCCAATTATCCAGGCACCATTTATTGAAGAGACTTTTTTCTCCATTGAGTAATCTTGGCTCCCTTGTCAAATATTAGTTGATCATATATGCTTGGGTTTATTTTTTGGCTCTTGATTCTGTTCTTTCGGTCTATTTGTCTGTTTTTATGCCACTACCACACTGTTTTGATGACAATTGCTGTATAGTATAACTTGAAATCAGGAAGTATGATGCCTCCTGCTTTGTTCTTCTTTATTAAGATTTTTTTGGCTATTCAGGGTCTTTTGTGATTCCATATAAATTTTAGGGGAGTTTTTTTTTCTACTTCTCTAAAAAATGCCATTAGAATTGGGATTGCACTGAATCTTTTGGTAGTACTGACATTTTAACATTAATTCTTCCAATTCATGAAGACAGAATACTTTTCCATTTATTTATGTCTTCTTTGATTTCTTTCATCAGTGTCATAATTTCTAGTTTAAAGATCTTTTACCTCTTGGTTAAATTTATTCGCATGTCTTTTACTGTTTTTGATGCTATTGTAAATGAGATCAATTTATTTCTTTTTCAGAAATTTCACTGTTAGTGTATAGAAACGCTACTGATTTTTGTATATTAATTTTGTGTCCTGCAACTTTATTGAATTCATTGATTAGATCTAACAGGTTTTTGGTTGAGTCTTTATACAAAGTCTATGTACAAAATCATGTCCTCTGCAAATAGAGGCAATTTGACTTCTTTCTAATTTTTATACTGTTTATTTCTTTTTCTTGCCTCATTGCTGTAGCTAGGACTTTCAGTACTATGTCGAATAAGAATGGCAAGAGTGAGCACCCTAGTCTTGTTCCTGATCTTAGAGGAAAAGCTTTCATCCTATCATCATTGAGTATGCTATTAGCTGTAGACTTGTCATATATGGCCTTTATTCTGTTGAGATATGTTCCTTCTGAGCCTGATTTATTAAGTTTTTTCGTGAGTGGATGTCGAATTTTGTCAGATGCTTTTTTTGCACCTACTGAAATGATCATATGATTCTTTTCTTTCATTCTATTAAATGTGATGTATAATATTGATTGATTTGTGTGTGTTGAGCTATCTTTGCATCACAGGGATAAATCCTACTTGATCATGGTGAATGATTCTTTTATTGTGCTGCAGAATTTGGTAGTATTTTATTGAGAATTTTTGCATTTATATTCATCAGGAATATTGACTTACAGTTTTCTTTACTAGTAGTGTCTTTTCTGGATTTGGTATCAACATAATGCTGCTGAAATTTCTTGCTCTTCAGTTCTTTGGAAGAGTTGGAGAAGAATTGGTGTTATTTCTTTACATGTTTGGAAAATTCAACAGTGAAGCCATCTGGTTCTGGGCTTTTCTTCACTGGGAGATTTTCAATTGCTGATTCAGTTTCTTTACTAATAATTAATCTATCCAGATTTTTTAATTCTTTCTAATTCAGTCTTGATAAGTTGTAAAAATATGGATCCTAAAGTAATTCCCGTCAGTGTGTGTGTCTGTGTGTGTCCTCATCTGTAGCTTAAAATTTCTTTTTGGTTTGCCACATAATGCTGCTGTGGAATAAAATTCAAAGTACATCTCTAGAATGGCGTCACCATCCTTAAGGACAGGAACGTGTCAGCATAGCAAGAACACATACCTTGGTTAGACTATTTCTTATTATTAGTAGAAGAAGTGTTTTAGAGATTTTTTTTCCTGCATTCTGAAATGTTTATGGGGAAAATAAGTATGAAACTACTTAGCAGCTTTGCATTTTCTTAGACTAATGCAACAGGAGTATTCTAATAGAAGTAATGTCTACTGGAAGAAATGAAAATACACAACTTAAATAACATTAAAATTCTGAGTATGTTCTTAACATCCATGATAAACCTGCATATATTATTATTGCTTTTTTAATGCCCAGAAATGGATCTAAATTTATTGTTTGGCATCCTTAGTGACATCTCTTGGCATTCTTATATCTCATACAACCTCCCTCCCCCCAGAAGGGAGAGTGGGGCCACTTGTAAGTGAATATGAATGTTGGTAATGTCATTGACATTAGTGTCTCTTCATAATCCTTTATAGTCATGCCTTTGACCCTACCTAGGCTACTGAAAAAAACCCAAGTTAGAGCTGTAGGTTTTGTCTAGAGAACAGATTCCTTGATCAGCAATACAATCTCTTCAGTTTTTTTTGTCCAAAATTCAGCCCGTTTTCAGTGTTACCAGTCTGGGTTTCCAAAGCCATTTCACATTCCTGTAATTCAGATATAGCAGTTACCTAATTTAGATGATGGCAATGTGTATTTTTTTCTCTCTAGTCCTTCTGATGTTCATGAAGGAATGAAACAGGAACTATATGTTCCAGCACTGCTAATTAATTTTTTTGTTTGTGTGAATTTGGGTTAAAGATAAATGAAAGTAACTATTTTTAGGCTTATGGAATTCCTCATCACTGTTTCTTATCTTTTACTTTTCACTACAAAATTCTGTTTTATTTTAATGCAGGTACAGCCTGACTATTTGGACTGGGAAAAATGATAACTATTCCATTGAAGATTTACTTTGCATTAGAGACCATTTTGACAAAAAACAAGTTTTCTATGACATCCTGGAACCACAAAACCATGAATTTAAACAAGCCATTGGAGTCAAAGTTAATCTCTAAGAAGATTCTTCTAAATTATTTCATGTTTTGGTTTCATAATCCTCTGCTTTGGTCCTAATTAATTACCATATAAATTGTGATGATTGATTTATGCTCTAATTCATCTAATAAAAAAACACTTAGTGCTTACTTTATTAGGCCTATATCCTTATGATACTGTATGTACTTCAAAGATTTGGAAAGAAGAGATTTCAGTGGGCCTGGTCTAATAATAATTTAGGAAAATTATGCTTTAAACCCCCTTATAATATGTAATTTTGATATACTGAAGATAACTGAAAGAATTTACATGTCATAACCTGTAAGCACATTACATGTGATACAGATATAAATCACATTTTGGTTGGCCTTGCATTACAGAGATTCCACAAATTTGTGGCACCCTCTTTCTTTTTTCCTGGAGAACTTGTTATTTCAGAGACTAAGGAAGAGTAAGAGGGCTTTAAAAATATTTTAATTTTCATAGAGGTGAGCAGCTTTCTCATAACAGAATAAAATCCATTTACTGAAAACAATATAGATTAAATTAGATGGATCTAGAATTTCCATATTGTTGGGGGCATGCTGACAACTGTGTATGTTTATATTCTTTGTTTCAATCATAGTATTTTATCTATAGTAAGTACAATACTACTGGAGAGCAGAATTTTTTTTTTTTAATTTTATTTATTTGACACAGAGAGAGAGCTAGTGAGAGCAGGAACACAAGCAGGGGGAGCAGGAGAGGAAGAAACAGGCTTCCCACCGAGCAGAGAGCCCGATGCAGGGCTCGATTTCAAGACCCTGGGATCAGGACCTGAGCGAAAGGCAGACGCCCAATGACTGAGCCACCCAGGCGCCCCTGGAGAGCAGAATTTTAATCCTAGTAACATATCGTTTGATTTTCAAGTTTCTCACCAGCACCACCTTAGTTCAGGCCCTTGTTCTACTGCTAGAATCTTAAAAAGTTCTTCATGACTTTATTGTTCACATTCTACTCAGAGATGCCCTGAGTATTTCTGCTGAAGAAAACTTTTGTAAGCACCTCTTGCCAAATCAGAAAGCTCCAGGGGTCTCTTAAATGCCACTTAATTAAATTTTACTCTTTCAAGATCCTTCATAGTGTAGCCCACTCTAAACATCACCTCAGTGACCTTCAGCACAGTCATCATTTCAAAAATGCCTACAACAACAATGGTCTCCAGATCTTTAACAGTCAATTTTAACTATTTGATATTGTTCACTAATTAGGTCATAAATGTTAGTTTTATCTGCTCAGCTAGGTTATATAAGGTCCTTCATGGTAAGGGAACATTCTTAACTGTCCTTTATAGTGTGTGCCATAGTCTTGAGCAAGGTATTCAGAAAAACACGTTACTTCTTTCATTATTGAAAAGTAACTTACCAATGAATGTCCTAAGATACATAATTTGCCTTTGTTTGTCAACCATTTTCTCCAGAGAATAGTAGTACATAAAGAAAAGAGCTTGGGTTTTGAAGTCAGACAGTCTTCCCTTACAGCCCCACCTCTGTCCCTTCCTAGCTATACATTTTGGGAAATATTTAACCGCATTGAATCTTGGTTTCCTCATCTATAAAATGGAGGGAAAATGAGGATTCTTTTAAAGAGTTGTTATGAAGATTGAGATTCATGGAATAGAGGCATCTAGCTCAGTGCTCAACACATAGCAAGTACTCAACAAAGTTAGTTCCCTTCTTCTAGACTTATCACATGATCATATCCACTGTAGATAGAGAACAGTAAGGGGTATAACATGAAACATTGTAGACATATATTTAAAGAAGACAATTATATTTCCACTTTAAATTTTAGCTCCAACTAAATGCAGTTTCATTTGTCAAATAACACCCAAAACTTCACTTTCTATGGTTGTTTGCCAAAAGCAAAAGATGCGATTTTATAATTACAAAATTTTAATAATAGCAACAAAGATTAACTCTTAAAATTATAGTAAAAATTAATGTTTACTTTATAAATTTTCTAAAATGACCATGCTTTACTTTTATAAAGAAAATTGAATTTGTAAATAAACTGCATTTTAATGAGGTTTTAAATAAGTCATTTGCCCAGATTATTTTTCCTACTTGATTATCTGACTCTTGATAATACACACACACACACACACACACATTTTATATATATATATATACACACACACACACACACACACACATTTTTTTTTTTTTTTAATTTTAGAGAGGGGGTGGAGGGGCAGAAGGAGAGGGAGAGAGAGAGTTTTAAGCAGGCTCCATGCCCAGTGTGGAGCCTGACACAGGGCTCAATCTCATGACCGTGCAATCACAACTTGAGCCGAAATCAAGAGTCAGATGCTTAACCAAGTGAGTCATCCAGGCACCCCATGACCCTTGATAATATTTTTGAAAATATTAGTCTTAAGGCAAAATGCTTTTATATTGAGAAACTTATCAGCTGGTTATTACTTAGGTTAAGATTTAAAGGTGTATTTTAAATCATTCTTGGGAACAAATATATATAAGGGAATCATAAAATGTATTCTATTGAAAAATAATTTTTTTTAAAGATTTTATTTATTTATTTGACAGAAACACAGTGAGAGAGGGAACACAAGCAGGGGAAGTGGGAGAGGGAGAAGCAGGCTTCCCGCTGAGGAGGGAGCCAGATGTGGGGCTTGATCGCAGGACCCTGGGATCATGACCTTAGCCAAAGGTAGATGCTTAACGACTGAGCCACCCAGGTGCCCCGACATGTAGCCTTTATAAACATTTTATTTTTTATCTTTAAAACTAAAAATTATTTATGTTTAATTTATTTAAATAATTTAGATTCAAACCCCTTCAACAGGCGCTTAACGACTGAGCCGCCCAGGCACCCCTGAAAAATAAATTTTTAATGGATATTCACACAGAAAAAAGTAACTGATCCCTACTTCACACCATATGCAAATGATAATTTGAGTTGGATCTTAGACCCAAATGTGAAGGCTAAAACGAAAGCATTTAGAAGAAAATAAAGGAGAATATTTTCATGACTTGGGAGTAGGCAATAATTTCTTTTTTTAAATTTCAGCTTTATAAAAAACTAAAAGATAAATTTCAGCTTTATAGAGGTATAATTGACATATGAAAGTGTCAGATATTTCCAGTTTTCCCTATTTCCCCACACCCAAGGCAATGATATTTTTTAAAATTTTCTGGGGGGATGGGGAGAAGGGCAGAGGGAGAGAGAAAGAGAGAATCTTAAGCAGGCTCCACGTCCAGTGTGGAGCCCAACCTGGGGCTCAATCTCACAACCCTGAGATCATGATGTGAGCCAAAATCAAGAGTCTGATGCTTAACTAACTGAGCCATCCAGGTGCCCTAGCAATGATTTCTTATAACACAACATTAATCATAAAAGAAAAACATTGTTTAATGGGCTTTATCAAAATTTAACACTTCTCATCAAAAGACACCATTAACACATATTTGACAAAGGACATACTCAATCTATGGAGAACTCCTATAAGATTTTATTTATTTATTTGAGAGAGAGAGAATGAGAGATAGAGAGCACGAGAGGGAAGAGGGTCAGAGGGAGAAGCAGACTCCCCGCTGAGCAGGGAGCCTGATGCGGGACTCGATCCCAGGACTCCAGGAGCATGACCCCTGCTGAAGGCAGTTGCTTAACCAACTGAGCCACCCAGGCGCCCCTATAAACTGATTTTTAAAAAGAAGCTAAACAACCCAGTGAAAAATAGGCAAAAGAACAGACACTTCATAACTTGGTTAATAAATAATAATGATATAAAGACCTTAATGTATAAGAATGCAATACAATAGTATATAAACACTGAGAATCTATATTTATTAACATGGAAAGATGTTATATTACAGGCAGCAAAACAGATGTCTGGTATCATACTATTTATGTAAAATTGTGTGTCTTTATGTGCATTAGTATACATAGGAAAATATTTGGGAAGAAGTTCCCAGACACAATATAAGTATAACCTATTTTTCCCCTTCAGGTTCTCAAGTCTAACGTATTGGTGTTGAGAACTCATAGCATCTGAGGGCTATTTCCCAAGCCTGGCAGAGCAATCCTGGTCCTAGAAGAGACTTTGGTACGAGAGCCAATTTTTCAAAAAATCAGCTTTATATAGTACAGTAGTTTATGGCCCTGTAAAATTGATGTAATTACTATTTAGTCAGATATGTACTCATTTATCAAGTGGGAAACTGTTAAAAGTTATTCAGAACAGTTTGCTTATTTGCTTGTTTGTTGGAGCAAGGGTCTTAGATTTTTTCCTTGTAATTATAAAAACTTAAGTACCTAGTGAATATATGGAAAAATGCCCTATCTCTCACCTTGAAATTTAAGATATGAGCTTGCCTAGTGGGAGCTTACACTCTGCTTATAATCATAAATCCATGAATCAATGCCAGGAAAATAGCTGAATGATAGAAAGATGAAGATAGTAGTACTAAAGAACTTTTTATTGTCTAGAAAATGGGAGTATAATGAATGAGCGAAACCAAGAAGGTCTGATAACCAGGTCTTGGAAGAAGCAGGGTAGGATACAGGGGTTCTTGGGACCTCAGCAGCAGGAACTCAGGGTCTTTGTTCTAGTGTCTAGTGTTCCACATCAGTGTCATTCTTTTACTCGTGAGTGTGATTGCTTCTCTCTCTTCTTTGTACCTACCATCCAGGGACTGTAATTTGTCTAGTCATTTCTGTCTTCAGTGCTCACTGAGGAGTACTGCGTGGAGGGGAGGGGACTGGCATTTAATTGGTGTCTGATGTGCTGAGGCTGTGCAAATAATTCAGAAATGATTTCTACCTCAAGGATCTTACAATCTAGGTAGGGGAGAGAGACCCGTAAACAATAAGTTGGATATTTGCCAATATGATGGAACTATACACCAGGTCGTGGTGACAGACAGCATTTTGTTCAAATTGAGAGGAAACACTTAAGTTGTATCTTCAGTGATGAGCAAGTTTCACTGGGTAGACTAAGAGGAGGAAGGGCCTTTCAGACAGAAGCACATGAGCAAAGGAACTTTAAGTGGGAAAGAGACTGACCTGACCTGTTCAAAAAGTATGTGGAGGCACCATACTATGAGGCTGGGCATTTATGCAGGGACCAGATTGACTTTCTGAGCTGAGG